CCCCAAACCCTTAACCCTAAACCGTACGGCCCACATGACACATCAAAATCTATACAACTCTAGGGGCATTCTTCGCATGTACAGTCACTGGTGACAGCCCATTAACCTCCACGAAAGCTGGTTTTCAGCATTCGACCAAGGAAGCAGCGCAAAGACAAGACAGACTGTTTACAAGCTCCAGCTTTACTTTACTATATACCCTGCATTGCAGGCTTGGTCCTAGCTAGGTGGGAGGCAAAAATACTTAAACCGATCATGCAGCAGAGCCGCAGATACACGAGTGTGCTGCGACGAGAGCATGTGCATCAATCACTTTTAAACCAGCCCTGGACCTTCAACGCTGATAATCTAGCCTAGCAGAATATAACAGAATACAATTTAGTATCCTATAGCCATGCAGTAGCATAAAGCGACGTATAGTATAGTATAGCATAGTATAGTATAGTATAGTATAGCAACCCTAAACCCTGTACAACCTGGATGCATTAATGCTGGGTTCAGGCGGTGTGTGAGCCGGAAGATTTTTCAAGAACCCTCAACCTGAACGTTGAACCGCACGAAAATTGAAACCCTCACTCATAAACAGGGCTCGATCAGGGGACCCTTTTGCCTAAACCCTACCGAAACCCAAACAGATACCTGAAGCCTTTGATCGTGCGACCCGCAACGCGAAGACACTAAAGTCGTGTAGGTTCCCAAGATTTCGAACGAATCGGAGCAGCACTTAGCGTTTAGGGTTTCCGATCTATGACGGCCAAAGAGCTAAAGCTCCCACATCTTTAAAAACCTAAACCTTAAACCCTAGATCCTAAACCCTAAACCCTGAATCCTAAACCCTAAACCCTAAATCAGTCTCAAGCACCGAACCTCAGACTGAGTATCCTCAAGTGGGCTACGGCGTCGGTCCTCGTCCACAAACCTCAATCCAGGTTTGGGCTTCGGGTTCAGGGTTTGAGGTTTGGGCTTTGGTGTTTAGGGTTTAAGGTTTAAGGCTGAAGAACGGCAGAGGAGGCAATGCTGGCAGTCATCAAGTCCGGTTTCAAAAAGGGTTTAGGGTTTAGGGTTTAAGGCTTCAGAGAGACCTCGCTCACAAAGGGTCTAACCCCCTAAACCCTAAACCCTCAACCCTGAACCCTAAACCCGAAACCCCTAAACCCTAAACCCGAAACCCCTAAACCCTAAACCCGAACCCCCCTAAACCCGAAACCCCTAAACCCTAAAACGCTAAACCCTCAACCAGGCTCCACGCCACCGGACGCCGCAACTTTGCTCCTGGACCGGAACAAGGCAAACCCGGGTAGTTCTCCAAAAGTGGGGTTTAGGGTTCTAGGGTGTGGGGGTTTTCGTGTTTAGGGTTTACGGTTTGAGGTTTAGGGGTAGTTCTCGAAATTGGGGTTTAGGGTCCCCTAAATCAAAAAACCCTAAACCCGTTCCTGTACGGACCGCAATGATTCGAACAGGGCTTCGAGGTAGATCCTAGTATATACAGTTATTTACAATTTAATTGAATTATGTATGTCATAGTATGCATGACTAGATATAGTATAATATGATGATGATATAAGAACTTTCAGGGGACAGTACGACTTGTTATTCAGGCCCCTACATAATATCTTACACCAGGTCATGCTTAGGTTTGTGGGCATGCCAGACGCGGCTCAAGCAGCCAGCCTCACGGTCTGAAGAGGGTGTGCAAAGAGACATAGTCAGACTGTAATCTAGGGTTTTTTATGATTAGAATACGATGTGGGGTGATGCATGCGAAAAGCTTGTGGCGTTGAAGGGTGAAGCAAGTGAACACGGCAGGTGCACGCGACTTCACCTGCTGTTCGTAGGCAGGGATGAACCCGTGCAGCGCATCAGCAAGGTGCCTCTGTTGGGCAGGACGCAGAATGGCTTAACACAAAAAGGGGAAGCAAACTGCCGAGCATAAATCAGTAATGACCATTTCTTCGACTCTAGCTCGCGACGGAGTCATGCAGAGACAGCTTCTGCTGATCCGTCTGTGGCTTCTTCGTCCTGCAGCTGGCTGTGACACTGCGAAGGTCAGGAGTCTTCATGCACTTGTCCCGCACCTGCAAGTGCACCATGTCGTCTTCGGAGTTAGTTTAGTTCAGTTTAAGCTGCCACAATGAGCAGGTATTATGGTAACTTAAACTATGTTCCTTAGCAAGAACCCAGGCAATGCTACGCCGGAGCCTTGCACTGGCGTGCGGCCTTGATAGCACTGAAGGGCTCGGCAAATGACCCATCTTATTCCATTCCTTAGGGTACCCGACGTGTAGCTTTGGGTTTAGGGTTTAGGGTTTGGGGGTTATCTAAAAGTGATAGTATATCCCATAACCCTATTCCAATGCTCCTACAGTCCTACAGTCGAGGGAAGAGACGCAACAAGGAAGCCAAACAAACGGGGGAGAGCATGGGAAAGCCTACCTCGACATGTCATCGCTCGATGCTTAGAAGAGAGTTTGGGGGTATTTGGGATATTATAAAATACTTGTAATAGGGAGCCCTACGGAATATCCGAACTTTATGTTAGCTATTACTACTCGCGGCTGGCAGCTAGCATGCGGATATTCATTCTTGTCGCACTTGCTGTTGTTGTTTTAAGTGTTGCCCTGCTTGGTTTTTGTGGTCATGACGCGTCTTTGCTGCGTGTTGGCTACAGTACCCTTACCACTTACTTGTGGATGGTCTTTGTGGCCCCTTTTCCTCCTTAAACCCTAAACCAATTGTGCAGGATCGACGCATGGGACGATGCTCCTGCTTATTGCTAAACCCTAAACCCTAAACTCTAAACTCTAAATCCTGAACCCTAAACCCTAAACCCTTACATCCGAGGAGAGAAGCCCTAGAGCACTTTCCATGGACACAGGGGTTTAGGGTTTAGGGCGAGCTCCAATCAAGCCTGTGTAAAAGGTGTCAGAGAAGGGCATACGCATTCTCCATTATAAACCCCAAAGCCTAAACCACTAAACCCCTAAACCCTAAACAAGTCTCTGGACATTGGGAGGCACCTTCGTTTTCGTATGTGCGCACTACGAGCTGGTTTTTACATCGCAAGGCAGACGTGCTCCGAAACCAAAGTCCTAATTTCACATGTAGGACTTAGGGACATAGCCAAGAAACCTAAACCCCTAAACCCTAAAGCCTATAGGTACTATGGTCTGGCATCCTTCCCTCAGAGGCCTTCGATGCCTTCCGAAAGTCAGTCCGCCGCAGCGAGACACTGGACGAAGGCAGTGGGGCCGTAGAGTTTTGAGGATTTCTTGGCTAGCCGGTGGCTTGTGCAACAGTTTAAACTTCGAAAGATACCGAACAGTGACATGAGCTCCGGTATGGAGTGGTGGTGGATCACGCGTTCTGTGTGCGTTGCTCTCGGGACCCACCCTTGGACAGGATAATCCTCACCCGGTGCAGTCAACTCGGGGTGCCAGTCCCCTAACTGCTGTTGATCCGGGTGGTCTGGCAAGGAGAGACAGGTTGCTGTGAAATCACAGAGTCGATCCTGCACCCTTAACTGTAATAGCGGCGTAGCTTGGAGCCTCTCTTGGGAGCAGATTCTAATGATTTCTACTGCAGACCTCAGCGTTGTAGCCGTAGCCTAGTTGGTATCGTTTCGGAAAGCCTAGGGCCTAGATGTGAATGTTCGCTGAACTGTTCCCTAAAACTCGATGGCTCAAGCTCTGTTTGACGCACCTGCGTTAAATTCCACCCTTTCTGCGCAATCTACAATTTTGCGACGCCATGGCCTTGACGCTTCTTGCCGTGGCGTCTGCGGCCTGCATAGGCAATGTCCATTCCGTCCGCTCGGCCTCTCTGTCTGACTTGGAGTGGGGAAGGCGTGCAAAGGGCGCGGCCATGTATGTGAAGAGTATGGAAGAGACGGCGCTGACCATGGTTAGCCATTACAGTGACTTAGATAGCCAATGGGAGAACTTTAAACTTCTCGGCTTTATATATTAGGTCTATCCCAAGAAGCTTGAACTTTTTTGGGCCTGGTTGTTGAAGAAGAGAGGTGAAGTGCCGGGAATGAATGAGGTTGACATGCACGATTTCCTGAGGGTCTTCACGACCAGCGTGCTCCAGCCCGAGCTCAACTCCCAAGGCTGGGAGCTAGGATTAGGAGGACCCTTGGGGATATAGACCCTCTCAATAAGGTCCCTTTTAAGAGAGCCTAAAGTAGGGTTCAGAAGGGGTACCCTTTAAGGGGTACCCCTAATAATACCTAAAGGCTATGCTCGCATAGTGCGGGCCACGGACTCAGCAGTGGTCATCGGGGACTTACATGGACAGCTCTTCAACTTGATCGCCTTCCTCCATGTTATCAAGGAACAGGTGACCGCAAAGGCGGACCACAAGGTGCTTCCCGAATCCAAGCTCCTGATCTGCGACCCGAAGTTTCAATATGTCTTCATGGGAGACTACGTGGATCGAGGTGAACGAAGTGTGGAGGTCGCCACGCTCCTCTTCTCCTACAAGGCCCTCTGCCCCGATGGCGTAATCCTTCTTCAAGGCAACCACGAGAGTCAGAGTGCGAATTCCAGGTACGGTTTCGACCGGGAGGTTGTGCACAAGCTAAAATCTGAGAGCTTGTACAATGACTTCAACCAGGCCTTCGCGAAGCTACCCTTCGTGGCCGTGGCCAAAGAGCCTAGGTAGGCCTTTGGCTCATTTTATATGTTTCCCTTCTCGGGCCTAAGACGACTTTATTTATGACTAGTTTTCGAAGCCTTTAAAGCGGCCGCCTAGGAGCTCTTCATGGCAACTCACGGGGGGTTCTCCCAATCTTTTGTTAGGCAGTGCTCCGAAACACAAGCTGACTTCCAGCAGTGCTTATCTTACAACATTGGGTCGGAGATGGCTTCTAGGCATGCGTCAGGAACGGTTTAGGGTTTGGGGACTACGGTTTAGGTTAGGATGTTTCATTTTTTTGCCTTACTGGTCTCAGAGGACCTTGCTTAGGAATAAGCTTCTGAGTTTTCAACGGGTCAGCCTAGGTTTGGTCAGATCCACACGCAGGA